ATTTTATGGAAAATCGTCGAAAACTATGCAGTGCTGCCAAGTGTTTCCATTTTAATACACTAGTCGAATGGAAATTTTAGGCAATGACATGAAATTTTCGATACAATTCGACTCTCGAAAAACGACTTGCATTCTACACGGCTCTCGCAATGAGGCTGATTATTAACTAGAGTTACCCGGCCACGCCTTGTTGTGTGTGTGTTGAAATATGTATGAATATCAGAGGTGAACGTACATATGTATGTATGTATATGTTTTTTTTGTAAATCTAGATAGATTAACGCTCATTTTAAGTCACTTTCGAATATAATTTGGACATACTAATATAGTTTTCCATCGCTCACCGGTAATCAGTATTCATCTAAGGTAGCTTCATCGCTTATTTTATTAACTTCCCCGACCGATGTAAGCAAATCTTTTCCCTGGCATTGTAATAAAAGTTATAAAATATTAAAGAAACGAGGAATAAAGGAATTTTTAAAGACCTTTCATCCGATATTTTAATATTTTTAACGTGTTTGTTATTTTTTACGTTTGTATGAGTAGCTTTTTTTCAGAATTTGTCTCTAAAATATTTCAAAATGTTTATTTAAACTCTACTACTCAAAACCCTCAGTATAAAAATTAATATCCGTGGCATCCCTTTTTATAGATATCTGGATTAAAGTATGTGCAATTTTTTCAATCTACTAAGGCTTTTTCAAAAACCTTTTGTTTGGTATCCATATCGTAATCATTCATTTAATTTTAAATTTTTGGTCTTAACTTTTTAAATTGGTGATAACGCTAATGAAAAATGTTTTTAAATCAAGGATTTCTTAAGTGACTTCATTTGATACTAAAATTGTAACATTCCATTTATCTTTCCAATTTAATTGGATACAATTTTTCCATCAGGTGGCAATCCGCTTTAAAAATATTTTCCAACCCAAGCTTTCTGAAACGACCTTACTTGGACACCCATATTAAGAAATTCATTTATCAAGCAGATAACAACACTCTTCAATATTTTTTGGAAATCAAGCTTTCTTAAGCCTCGCTTGTTATATATCCATATTATATGTTATTTATCTTCTTAATTTAATCGAATTAAAATTTAAAGAAATGTGGCAACCCTCTTCTAAAATATTTTCTATTAAGCATTCTTAAACCTCATTAATTCGACATCCAAGTTGTAATACATTGTACTTGATTTCTGTATCAATTTAATTAATCGAAATTTTTCAAACAGCTGGCGATACTCTATTTCTATTTATTGTTATGTTTTTTATACGTGGACCCTCTCTTTGTTAGTTTATATGTAGAAGTTCTAATTGCTTTTAATTTTTCGTATACGGGTTATTATATGGGCAAAACGTAGTGTTCACATTTTTGACCATAACTACGTATCTACATATATATCGTATAGCAAACAAACATAACTTGAAAACGCTCCATACACGTTTTAACAAACTGTGAAAATTTCATCAAATCGGTTTTTGAGTAAATGTGTTACATCACTTTTGCAACTTTATATATAAGATTATGCATTTAATAAACCCATAAAGTTTTCCATCTATCGATTTTCTTCATTGGTATATTGATTTGTTTTTGTAGAAGAACGGGATTTCATACAAAATAAAAAAAATTATAAAAAAACGTTATTTTTTATTTTTCCCCTGTTAAAGTTTGAACTTGTTTCACTTTTTTCAAAAAAAAAAATCTGGAGTGATTTTTTTAAATTCTCAGAAACTCTGAAGCCTATCGAAAAAAACGAGTACATACGGTTTATGGAGAATTTTCTTGGCTTCATTTGCTGTACTTCGTATTACGATTGTTAGATGGTTCGTAAGATATACGTGATTAAGTGGAACTATTTTTGTTTTAAGCTGAATAACGGTAAATTGAAAATATCTTGAAAACCTATCTATAGAATAAAAAATTAACTTAAAAAATTAAATTATTCGGAATCAGCGGGCGATTCTACATAGGCATTGTATAGTGGCATCTACTGAACATATTTGCTGTAAACCAGTGTAATTTACGATTCAACAACAACAACATTCATAATCAAGTGTTTGGGAAGATAAATATATAGTAGAACTTATCTACTTTTAATAAAATTGTGTTATATGTATATTAAATTGTGTGAGTGCTTTAACTATATTATCAGTTATTATTAAGCATTATTAAAAAAGTAAAGTCGGAATTTGAATGCTCTCACCCCCTAGGATTGTTCTACGTCGAAAATATATAACCCTTATTTTTTTATTTTGAAATCAAAAATTATTTAGAGGTCGCTCAAAGTTTTCCCTATATTTTATATGCGAAAAAACAACTTTTCGCAGAAGTGGTATGGAACTCTTTAAAATCAATATTTTTTGATAGAAAAACTCTGGTCCTCTTGAGGAGAATTGCAATAATAATACCCAATAGTTTAATTAATCATGGATCGCAAACTATGCCCAACAGCCCGTCCATAACGCGGAGGGGAAACTAGGCCTTTCCGCCCGCCTTACATCACGGAATCCAGCGTCAGGGTTTGCATATTAATGACGACGGGAACATGGATCGGAAACTCGGCCTTTCCGACCGTGACTATCAACTCATGAGCAACGCGGAGCGGAAACAAAGTCTTTCCACACGCTGCACATAGTACATATGTAAAGATAGACTGGAGACTAGGCCTCGCCAGCTACCCAACTAGTTAGACAATATACATTTATACACATTTATATACATTTGATCGTTTTAGAAACATAAACAGCTTTGTAATTGAAAATTTAAACTCACATATACGCATACTTTGTTATATATCAAAAATATCTATCTGTACTTTTAAGTCGCAAGTTACTGAAACAAATAAATAAATAAATAAATAAAACAACTGCGCTATTTTTAGTCTAGTTGTAAAATATGTATAAGAGCGTAGAAAAAATACAATTTTTTATTTAATATTCATTTTTTCGTTTCAAGGCTGAAACTATCAAAATATACAACGCACATTCATATTTCTTACACATATTTAAATGAGCAAGGTTTCTCCAAAATAAGCTTAGCGCAAATTTATTGTGTAGTAATTTCCACAATATTGACTTGTACAAGTCTCGCGTTGCGCTATGATTTTGTGTGGTTTAGGGTTTGTTTTTCGTTATGCAAATAAGCATACAGATTCTCTGTTTTTATTAAAGCACCTAATATAATATTTTTTTTAACTAAGGATTTAATTATAAAATTTTAATTATTTGTTTTTCAAATAAAAGTTTAACAATAGCGGTTTTGTTTGCTTTTGATACTTTGTGATACTTTTTCTACTTGGTAGCTGATACTTTTTTTCAAGCGCGCGGCAACGCTGGTTGTAACCCCTTTTAACTGAGCAAATATATTGACGACCTCCTTTTGGAAAAACTATTTGAACTAAAATACGAATTTAAACAAACAAACAAAAAATTCAAAGCCCCACAAAATCGTTATACTCCTAAATCTAGAGGAAAAATGATAGTACAACTACAAACGATGTGGCTGTATACATATTAGTCCTTTACAAATATTTGAATAAACGCTTGGAAATTTTCAAGGATAATCAAGGATAAAGTTTTATGATTCATCCTTATTCACCAAACATTTTAATTTTGTTCAATTCTAAAGATTTTTTCTTTCATTTGGTACCCATATGAATAATTATATCCTTGAAATTTCCAGGTCTCTAAAACAAACATAATGACTTAAGAGAGAAAAACTAAAAACGCAGTTTGACTAAAAATTCATTCTTCATTCGAAAAAATTGAAATAAAATTTATTTTTTTATTTGAAAAGTTTGTGCTAAGGCAAATAAATTTTAAAATCTTTTTGAGAAAACGTCTTTGAAGTTTATTACAAAAAAAATTATATGTACACTGCCGGAACAAAGTATTGGCACAGCAAATTTTTCACAATATATGCAACAATTTTCATTCTAATACTTTTCCGCTAATTTCCTATAAAAATATAGTTCATTCTACAACAAAAAACATGAAAATATAATTCTTAAACCTTGTGAAAAATTTCAACTCTTTAATCAGATTTTTTAGAATTTTTTGGAGTATGCAGATTTGTAGCCCGAGTTTATTATAATAAAGCGCAGGTTTTAAGTAGATAGGAATTACCGTTGATTTTTGGCATTTTATTCACGCAGTCTCTTCCATACAAAAATTTTTTTTCGAAAATTTTTCATATGGAAAAAATGCAAAACACCTTCAACAAAAAAAAAAATCTCAAAAATCAACGCGATTTTTGACTAACTCCGAACCTGCGCACTCAAAAAAATTCTAAAAAATCTGGTTAAAAAGGTGAAAATTTTGATGAAAATTTGATGAATTTTCGCAAGTTTTGCACAAAGTTTTGGAATTTTATTTTTATGTTTTTTGTTGTTGAATGAACCATATTTTCATACAAAATTGGCGGAAAAATATTAGAATAAAAATTGTTGCATATATTGTCCAAAAATTTGCTGTGCCAATACTTTGTTCCGGCAGTGTACATACATACGCACATAGATTTGCAAAAAGAATTCAACCTTGGTTTGGAACTGAAGGATGTGGGGCTTATTCGACGTTTTGTTGTTCACCCATTTTTTGATTTAATAAATGTAATGCTGAAAATATCGCATCGCATAAATATGTGGTACAAAACCGAAGACGTGGGTCGTACACGATTTAAGAGTGCTGAAAATTTTGTCCCGAACCAAAAATAATTTATAACTAGAAATTTAAAGCTATGCCCGGCATGCGGAGAGACGTCCTACGAATCGGGACATCTCTTCACATGCAATGTACACCCCTCTCAACTAACACCTCATTCCCTATAGACAAACCCCATCAAAGCTGCACGCTTCTTGGCCCTTCTGTTCGTTGAGCTTGACGCCAACGATTGAGTAGCCGATCTAGGCGGGGTTGTGTTAGCCGCTACAACAATCATCAACCTACACTTTCGAAAACCTTGGTTTAGACTGCAAATAAATAATAAAAAAAAAACTCCAAATATCAATATTACTCACTTTGCATGCCCAAAAGCATTTTCATCCACACCACCACCACTGCCAACTTGACAGCTGAAGCTTTTCTCATACTGGTGATGCGCGTTATGGCTGCTAAGATTCGATGACGGTGAGTACGGTGCCTGTGGGGGTGGCATTTGTTGACGCTGCAGCTGCTGTTGCATCAACTGTTGCTGCTGTTGGTGATATTGTGGCGATAATAAACGCTGATCTACATGATGATACTGTGGTTGCATGCAAGCGGTGGTCGCTGCGTTCGGGCCTTGTACTAAATTTGCACTAGTCACTGTACCACCAGTATCTGGGATCTGATTTGGTGTATCAATGCCATCATTCGACACGACATTTGAACGTTCATAAACCCCTCCGCAGCCATTTTCATTCTTGCCCATCATTATAGCCATGGGTGGCACAGCAGTTAATATACTCGGATCTACTTCAGCACTTTCGCTACCGCCTAAAAGTCCAAATCCTATAATGCCTGCAGTAGCATCATTTGACGTGGTTAATGACCAGCGATGGTGGCCAGCATCGACATCGCTGGTGCTATTGGTACAGGTGCTATTGCTACCACTCGAGGTGGGCAATGTTAGTGCGTTCGTGTTGTTTAACGTCGTAGCAGCAACCGCCTGTTGCAGGTGTTGCATGCGATTATTATTTCTTTGTTTCGCCAACATACGGCAAGAATGTTTATGTGTCGGCCAGTCCATGTGCTGATGCGCCGTGGAGCAGTAGAAGATCGTCTTACATTTGGCACAACGCAATAACTGCTGTGTTGTACCGCAAATGGCACACTGTGGAAATTTCTCCATTTTCTTTACTCACAAGAGTGTTCTCTTCAAATTCACTTTATAATATTGCAATTTCAAGGCTAACTATCTAGCCTTTTTGTAGTTTACCTGTTTATGGGGACAATTTTGTTTATTTGTAAGGGTCCTGTCTCGCGATCAATATTTACTGGCGTGATCCAAGTACCACGATATTTATTGATGTTCTAGCATCCAATATTGATGGATCGTTATACGAATAATAAAATATTAAGAACGTATTACATTTTTTTGAAATATTTAATGAAAGTGCAGCATTTTTAAAACACGATCCATACATTTCGTCAGTACATTTTGTACTCTCATAATTGTGAATATCTAAAACATACCTATGCGTTTTGCCTTCGCTCTCGGCGCTAAAAACTTTACAAAACAAATTGAAACGGCTTAAATTAACATTGGAAATTTTAAACACTATTTAATGCATTATCTATACAGTTATTCGACCAAAATAAAAATTTTTTCTTACGATATTAAGTGTGCAGCACAGAAATTATACAAATACTGACGCGATAAATATTAAACATGTAGCATTCGTGCGCGATCCATCAATATACATATAGATTTTCATCCAGATATCGTTATAAATACTGACCTTGTGACAGGGCCCTAACGATGACCTCCCACGGGCAAACGCTTTGAATTTAACCTTGAAAGGGACCTTCCTTTCGGTTTTGGATACGCATTTAGCTCATGCTTTGTATTTTTTTCCTGACTGTTTTGAGCTTTTTCTTCTTTATCTTGCGAAAATATCGCAGCTGTTTTCACCACTGTCTTGGTATTTGTATTAATTATAATACTACGCTTTTAAATGTATTTTTGTTGTCTGCTTTTGCGAAATATGTAATTGCAGCCATTTGGATAACTGCTCTTCGACTAACGTGAAGCGGACGGAAAGGGGAAGAACTCGCACCTTTTACTCTTAACCCACAAGTCTAGAGTCGTTGCACGAACACTTTTCTTTCCACGTATCGCTCCCAGCCTCGTGCCTATCGCTGATAATGCTTCTGGTGCTGATACGATTAGTATAATACCCTCGTCTCCTCATACATGTGTATAATCATAGACTAAATCATGTAGGCGCAGACAGCAATCATATGGCTTAAAAACTTTTCTTTGTTGGCTGCGAGACTTGTGGCTGGTTTAGTCTGCCTTGATTTGCGTTCCCATAGTCTGTTTACAGATAGTTTTTTAAAGCAAGGAAATGTTAAGCTTTTCTACCCATAAGTGCATACTAACAAATGATACGATGGTATTATTCGTAGGCTGTTAGTTTTTTTCACAACTACGCTATCATCAGCACCAAACTTTGCTATAATTGCTGGCGTTCTATTTTAGGCGTTCTTAATGCGATTTTCGCAATTTCTAGGAAGTTCCTAAGGCAATTTAATCACCTCTAATTAACTCGAACATTCTCTGCTACACTTTTATTAATAAAATATCACAAATATTCTGTAAATTCTCCATTTAATCACAATTTTTAGGCGAAAATGTGCAATTAACGGCTGTAAATTCACTTTCCCAAAATTTTTTTATAAATTTGACAAGCTGAGTAGCGAATATAAGAGAATGAAAAACGTTCAATAAATAAAATAGGATGTCAGTTCAAAACAGAATGTCAAACTTGCTGGAATTTTGAATTTTTCTGGAAAGCACAACCGGAAATCATTGGAATGCACTACCGGAAGTAAAAGGAATCATTGAAAATTCATCCGTCTAGCGTTGCCACAGATCTATCTAATATACTGTGGCGAATACTGCGGCAACACAAAGCGAACAACGAGAAATAGGCA